TTTTCTTTTAACTCGCTGGTCAAGGAAAGTTTTTTTCCCACATCATTGGTCACCTCCAGTGTTATTCCCCTTTTAATTTCCTACCCTCCCATCTCTTTCCTAATAAACCTGATAACATCCAAAAATATTTCCTAGCACTTGTCTCAACATCCATTTTACTGTAAGTTACAAAAAAGGATTGCGAAAGATTTGAGTTCAAGCAAAATGCGACTAGTGTGAAAGAAAAAGAGATGCGTACAAAAAGTATATTTTTCCAAATATTTGAATAAATAAATTAGAAACAACCCCAATAATATACCCCATAGTTTACTAAGTCCTTGCCCTTTTTCTGTTGTCTCAAAACTGTTCATTCTATTCAAGGCAATAGCTCTAGGTAGCAAACTTCAAATGAAGAATGTGCCTCAAGGTAACCATGGCCTCAAATTTATTTTTCCTAGTGGAGAGGCTTACTCCAGTTTCTATCTCCACTCAATCCCAGGGGAATCTAGGGATTAATTTCACTTTCACATTTCACTTAAGCCACTGAACCACCAGTGGCACATCCAGACGAGCTCAGTCGTGAGGTGTGTGGCACTGCAAACACTTATGCAGCGCTACATACTGAACAGTCTGGTGCTCTCCACGCTGTAAGGGGGTGCTGCCCGAGCATGTGTTGCGCCAGGGGGTTTTTTTGGAAACTGGTGCAATGCATGCTCAGCCAGCGCACACTGCTGAAAAGCGAAGCCAGGCCTCTCATAGCCGCACTGTGGCTGCCAGCCAGGCTCCGTGTGGCAGAATTGCCACAGCTGCAGTCCCAGGAGGACCCCAGGTAAGGCTGCTGGGGCCAGCCCAGTGCTGGCCCCAGTCTCCCCTCTGCTATCTGGGGCAACTTGCCACGTGCCAAAGCGTGCGTGGTAAAGGCATTCACCCCGCTGCTACTTATCCCCGGGGAACCAAATGTCCATGCACATCTGGATGTGCCCCAGAAAGCTGTAAAACCTAGCCAGGGGTAAACTAAATTATCAACATAGAGGTAAAAGACTTCCTGTTCTACTGCCAAAACCCTGCTCCATAGAGCTCTCCTGGAAGATACTGATGTCTGTAGGAAATCCAGTAAAATATATTATGCTCCTTTCTCATGATTAGGCCATAAATCAGTCCCAATACTGAACCATTAATGATTGAATTTGAATGACTTAAAAAAGCCTCAACTATCCATGTGAAAAAGTGAACCTAAGTTATAGTCTAAAGCTGTACAAATAAGTGATGTTTTAGTCACTAAAAAAAAAATGGTGTTAAAATACTTCATTTCTAAATAATTTGTGACCAGACATGGATTTAAAAAAAAAAAAAAAAGTTTTGAAACTGGAAAACCAGAACATTTCAACGCCAATTTTTGACTGAAAAAATGAGGCAAACATGATGTAAATTCTCAGATAATTTGTGCATTTTTCAGGGATTAAACATTCTTTTCTGAAAATCTTCTCCCAGCTCTAACTAGAACATCAGTTAAATAGTGCCTTGTTACTTACCTTCTGGAGCATTATGTAAATTATATTCTGGAAGAGTTAAAAAAAATACGTGTATTTTCTGCCTTATTTTGCTGTAAAAGGAATAAATTTGAGCTGCTTCCATATGCACTGCACTGACTGTATAATGACAAGAAGTGACAGTAAAACAAAGGACTTTAAGGAATGATGAAATCAACTTTGATGGAAATAGGCAGAGAGCATGTGTGTAAAGAGCAAAGGCTGAGTATTTCATTGGCCTATGGATTATCTTCCTGGTGAATAATTCAGATCTCAAGGTTGAAGATAGCTTCTTTCATTTTTGTTAACGATTCACATTCTTTTCTGAATATAGAGCAGAGCCTGGAGAGACAGTCCACCTCAGAGATGTCTCATGTTTAATTACCTGTAGAAATGTACATTTTTAAATACCACTAAAAACTTTTGTGCATATTTACTTGTTTTCAGTTTTTCCCCCCGGTAAGGGTATACTACCAATCCAGAAGCCTGAGTCTGTAAAATGAAATACTTTCAGGATCAGAGGACAAAGTTCCCTGTGGCCAGTTCTCATAATTTAGAAGGAATTTAGCTATTTACAAAGTGGTAGGAATTTTTTCATGGCATTTGCAAGGCAGCCCAGATCTTATATTCCAACTAATCAAACACTCTAAAAGTGTATTAAAAAAAAAGGAAGAGGTGGGGGGAATTTTTTTTAAAAAAGAAGAGATTTGGATTCTAATAGAAAGAATGCATCCAATCCCCCTCTATGTGTTCTAGTAAACTAGAATGTGTCTCATAAAAAAAAATGCTTCTGAAAAGCAAGCAAAAAATTCAACCTCTCAGGTGCAGAACATGGAAAAGCATGCCAGAAAAAAGAAGGTGCACAGGGAAATTCACTGTATATTCTTTTTGGAGTTTAATATTACATGGATGGGCTCAGTATGTTCATGTACATATCAGCATGTGAGAAATTATATCTGAAATTGAGGATTAGAGTGAAAAATTACAGTCCCATGGGGTGAAAGCAACAGACAGTGTGATGACATTAAGAGTTCAACTCTATTGTATTTCAAGCTAAAAACACTAATCCAGAGCCTTGATGGCTCTGTCAAACATTGAAGCAACAGCTTTTCATAACCTTCAAAATGGTTACTTCTTTTTATTTTTGCTTTCATTTGCATCGCTCATCTCTCCACTTCCATAATCAAATTATTTGCTCCTTACAATTCCATGCATTTTAAGCAGGAATATCACAGGTGCAGATGTGGTTGAATTAAATTCTATCTTGTAAATTCATTATTTTATTTAGACTGTATCCAAATGTCCTTTGCCTAAAGATTGTACAGAATACAACTGGGGCACAGAATATTCATGAAGATGGGTGAAATAGAGATGGTGGTATGCATGTTCAGAATAAAGCCAGAAGAGTGAGGAGTCTAACAGGGCAAAGCAACAGCAACAGTTTTAAAAAAGGAAACTTGTCAATAAAAGTGCCATTCCAAAAGACAAACAAAAGCAACAGAGAAACATCATTTTGGAAAGAAAAGCCCAGATGAAGCAAATGGAATAAAAGGAAAAAAGTGAAGGAGAACAGAAAGACAAGCAAAAATACGGAGCAAATCTATCAGGAAAAAGAGGATAGCCACTGGACACTTTAAAAGAGGAGAAAATCTAGGGCAGGGAGACAAAAGTTAGCAATACACTACAGTCCTATCTCAGAAAGTATGCCTGAATTATATTGGAGCAACAAGATAGTGTGTTTTAAGACATGAAAATTTGATGACATGACATGAATACAGCTGGAAAAAAAAGTCCAGTAAAGTCATATTATGGCAACTCCAATTCTGAGAATGTAAAAAAGGGTTACTTAAGGCTTTGCCAGGAACACCATCCTGGGACAGCTGCTACTAAAGGATAGAGGCAGGCAAGGTTCTTTGGTTAAATGTGGTATCTTTTGTTACACCAACTGAGTAGCTAGAAAAAAGTTCTCTGCAAGCTTTCAGGTGCAAACACCCTTCTTCAGGCATAGGAAGTCTCTGCTGTTCTGAGACTCCAAGGAATGAAAGAAGATAAAAGTTCATTCCTTGGAGTCTTCTTCCTCTGCCTGAAGAAGAGTGACTGAACCTGAAAGCTTGCAAAAAACTTTTTTTCCAACTGCTCAGTTTGTATAACAAAAGATATCACTTCTAACCAAAAAATCTTTCCTGTCTACATCCTTAGACCAACATGGCTTCCACCAAAAAAACAAAGGGTAGAAGTAGGTGCAACATGAGACAAGTAAATAGGAGTCAACTCCTAGCTCTGCTACTGGAGTTGCTGCATGACTTCAGGAAAAGTGCTTAATTTCTGTCTCTCAGATGTTCATTCTGTAAAATGAAGGTACTGTTTTAAAATACCAGCAGAAAAAAAAGCTCAAGAATGTTTGCAAAATCATTATCTGAAAGTTGACATGTATGCTAATGCATAGTTTTAATATTAATAGGGTCATTTGCTATCTTAACTAATTACCTTAAATTAACTTATTCTTAATACATGTCAATTTAAGTAGATACAGTGGTTCAGAAGCACAAGACTAGAAAGAAATTTAAGCATCATCAAGTCCCAGTCCCTGCTGTCGCATGCACCATGTCATGTAATACCTTCCATAAAGGTAGATAGCTGTATCTAAAAGCAGTCTGGCTTTTTGTCTTCATTGCTCCTTTTACCACTACTTACAAACTTATATATCTTTGCCTCTCCCTTTACTACTACTACTACTACTTACATTTCCTTCCCTATATAAAGAAGTCTTGTGAGACTTGGATGCTTTTACCATATGTTAATGTTCTTAATTGGAAGATACTGGCTGCATACATACATTCAAAAAACCTGGGAGAATATTCCCTGGTTTGCTCTTGTGTATTTGTATGATGAAGTCCTGAAGAATGGAAAGCTTGTAATATGACACTGAAGCTGGGAGGGACCCGGTACATACATCTCATCATGCTCTGCAGGCTATCTTAGTCTGCCTCTGACAACAGATCACAGCAGTGCATAGGGCAACTCTGACCAGCTATCCCAAACTGCCCATGGTCAGCCTACATTTCCCCGCAGCACAATGCCAAGACTGTGAAGGGGAAGTGTTCTGGAGCAGCAGAGTCCAGCAAGCAATATGCTGTCTCCTTGAAGAGAAGGGGAAGAAGCTGGAGGACTATGTTCTCTTCTGAGAATGTATGTACATGACATGTACAAACATTTGCTGTCCCAGAAGAAACTCTCCTGGGAGTAATTTAACTCTGCTTGTTCCCATGTTTGGACTCCTAGAGTGCCTATTTTTACCCTGGAGTGGCCATTTACCCCTGGGAGAAAACTCTTGAATATCTGTACATACAGCGACTCTCCCAGGAGAACCTGAATGCATATGAGGCTATTACTGAAACATGAGCATAATAAGTATAATATCAATTTCTACCCCAAGAATGCCCTGCCCAGAGAACTTCTGAATTTACTCTCTGATGCTGCTGATTCACTTACCGTAAGAGCTAGAAGTTTCCCATATGTAAGGTGTGCTGGGATGTGATCGCCCTTGGACCGCAGTGACTCCACATACCAGTGTTCTGCTTCAGGCAGCTTGCTCAGTCTCATATAGGCTTCACCTACAGAGTAAAACACATTAGTCAGGGGACGTAAGATTTTTGTCAATGTATTGTGTATCCACTTAGCATATAGACAAAGATTTCTAAGATAATAGACTACTTTGAATACTTGCAAAATGGAAAACACTCAACCTCATGGATACCTGAGTGATAGAAACAGCGTTATAGGCACATTGAAGATGAAAGTCTGGTCAGAAAGGAGCTGAAAGTGAGAACCCCAGCTGCTCATATCTGTTAAATTTCTGAAGTAGCCACGTTTATATAACATCTACTGTGCAAAAGCTATTTCTTTTCAATCAGTCTACATTACACAGCATGACTGTCAGTGAAAATACAAAATGTGTTTGCGCTAAACCATAACACACTGAGATTATAGTATAAACCCCGCGCCCCCAAAAGTAAAAAAAAAACAACCTGAAAGAGGTTAATAGTTCTAAAACTGTATGAGAATAAGGGGAAAGAATCTTAAAAAAATTAACACAGCCATTGCTGAGTCTTGTTCCCTGCCATCACTGAATAAAAGCATCAATGCTTTAATCTGATTTGAACTTGGTGAGGTTTTGGGAAGTGAACCAGTGAGAAATGATCAAAACCTGACAAAGTTTTTAAAGTAAAATCCTTTGTTCTGAAAAACTCAGGAAGAAAATGTACAAGGACAGCGACAGAATGATAGAAGTAAAAGAACCATGCACTATGGGACAGACGGTTGTAATCTTGAAGTTTTTGAAAAATGCATTTAATGTACTGTAGAAGAATCCATTTGAAGGGACAATCAAACTGAATCTTTCAAAGCCATGAAGCATGGCAGCTTTCAGAATACTCCTTTAGATTTACATAGAGCGTTTTCTAAATATACCAATAATTATAATAAGATAAGATTTTCAACAGTTGAATAAGCTGACCCACATAATCTCCCTTCAAAATAAATGATTATGTATTTTTCTATTTTCACACAAAACATATAAGCATTTTATACTGGAAAGTGTTCTAGTTTTACGTTGCTGTAAAATAGTGTTCTAGTTTGAATATGACCAAGTTTAATGTATGTTTGCTCTGCTGTACCTTGTCTGTTTCTCAGTCTTAAAAAAAAGTTGCAGCAGAAAAGCTCCTTTGTTTAGACCTTTTGTCTAGAACCCACCTTTCTGTTTACTGGAAACAAGAAACCTAGCTTTTTGTTACATAAGTAGGGGAAAGCAGACCTCCTAGCCTAATTAGCCAACTGGGCCATGTTCATAGATTCATAGATTATAGAGTTGGAAGGGACCCAATGGAACATCATGTCCAACCCCCTACCCCAGGCAGGAAAGAGGACCGAGGTCAGATGACCCCAGCCAGGTGTCTATCAAGCCTCCTCTTGAAGACCTCCAAGTTAGGTGATAGTACCACCTCTCTTGGAAGCCCATTCCAGACTCAATACCACTCTTATTGTAAAAAAATTCTTCCTAATGTCTAACCTAAATCTACTCTCCACTAGTTTGCACCTGTTATTCCTAGTTACTCTCTGGGGTGCTCTGGTAAACAGCGCATCCCCAATTCTCTGCTGTACTCCCCTGATAAATTTATAGGTGGCTACAAGGTCACCCCTCAGCTGTCTTTTGTATAGACTGAAGAGATCCAGAGCTCTCAACTTCTCCTCATAGGGTCTTTCATGGAGACCACTAATCATATGAGTGGCCCTCCCCTGAACCCTCCCCAGATCCTCTATATCCCTCTTGAAGTGTGGCTCGCAAAACTGGACACAGTACTCCAACTGCAGCCGGATCAATGCCGCATAGAGGGGGAGCATCACCTTC